AATAAATAAAGATAGCTATTTTCATTAAGCATCTGCTTCAATAGATCGAACAAATACTCTTACCGGTTCTATCCAGAAAGGACGATCGAGTAAGATAGTTGGGCAACCACCGGCCGTTCTCGAAGTTCGAAAGTTATGAAAATTAATATCCATAAGTCAAAGGTGGGTCTTAACGTGTCAACACGCCTCCCGAAAGCCTGCAAAGTCTGCTTCGTTTGTGGGCACTGGGTTCAAATGGAAAAGCGGGCTTTATTTTAAATGAATTTCGTAATAGAAGTATCAAAAAAACGGTCTGTTAAACAGTCAAGGGAGTAACATAATCAACTGAAAACGACTTAAGATGGGTCTCACAAACGGTGGGTCATGATCAGAACAGAGTTGGTCAGCATTGTTACGAGTTGCGATCCTACTTGGGTCATGCCTAGATACATTCGATTTAAAAACCGCAGACCGCCAGTGTTTCGCTTCCTTTTCAGTTTCTCCTCTCCTCCTTTTCTGTTCTTCCATTATTCCTTACAGGAATCAGTCGATCCACTTGAATTAAAGACGTTTTTGAAGGTCTTGCGGATTGACTTCCATCAAAAAAAAAACAAAAAAAAAATTAAAAAAAAAAAAAATCCCACGCACCATCCGCCTGCCCTATGATCAATAGATTATGTGGTCGGTATCCTCCAGAAATGAAATCATTAAGTTGGTTTAAATAAACAATATTATAAAGCAGAAAGTGGAATTTAGCCTCGAGTGATGAAAATAACTCCGCGTGAGGAAAAATGGGATCAAAGAGATCAATAAAAAATAGTGTAACTTTTCCTAAATACTAACTCTGCAAATCAACTGAAAGGTCATGAAACATAAAAAGGTACCATGTACTCAGCACGCTTTCCTAATGATATTACAGGACTTGAAACTGAAATTGAATTTTAAAAAGTTACAGGCTTGAAATGACATCACCGAAAGTAAATATCCCGTACATCCAATGTGCCTTTAGAAAATGGTCAGTGGGTTGATCGAGGAAAAACGCATCGCTAATGCGTTTAGCTGATTGAAATAGAAATTATTAGCGTCTTTGGACCTCTTTGAGATATTTATGAATTACCCCGCACAGATAGGCTCACTTCCGGGCGCTAAAACGCCATATTTGGAAGGAGTAGTATCCTATTGTACTTTGACCAATCACAGCAAGGATTACACTGAGCCCTTTGAAGCCATGTCAGGTGTAAGCGTGGAGGAAGTTTAAGGCACGCTTTGTTGTTGTGTTTCAGTTTTGAATTTCTCCATGATTAGTCTGCCATCGAAGGGTTTTTAATCGAAGGGGGAGTGTGGTTTGGTCCACTTTCGTGAACCCGTCCAAACGCAGATCGCGTTAGAATGTCTCGCCGTTATGACATGGGTGAGCAAGATACTACATTATTGTCTTTACCTAAGATTGCACTCATTACTCTAAACCCAAAAAGACTCAATTGCAGAACTGTTTATTGGTCTACTTGTTTTGGGTGACTCCAGAAACATTTGGCAAGTGTGTCAAGCAAGGTGAGATCATGAACATGTTTATATTTTAAAAAAGTGTGGATTGGAAATACTTTGCCACCATGCCCCATTGAGAAGTGTAACATTATTCTTGTTTCGCTCAGTCTCAGTAGGACAGGTGCATTGTGTCCTTTGTCAAATGTTAATTTTTTTTTGTAGCCAAAAGGTAAAGGCAAATCTCTCTATGACAATGTCTATGAATGCCTGAACTTGGAAGAAAGTCAATACTTTGTACTAAGTTTTTATGACAAAAATGATAATTTGGTAAGTGCCCCATTGTTTTTATAACAAGGTTAAAACAAAGCAAGAGCTGCATCCTGGTGATCTTGCATTCAATTTCGTATAAAAAATGAAAGGTACAAAGTATAAGAAAAAATTACTCAATTAAAGACTGCAAATACAATCATGACAATTCCCCTGTTTACTTTTTACAGCCACATCAGGATGCAGCTCAAGTTACTTTGGTGTAATTTGGAAGGAACTTTGTCTTAGTTGCCCAATTATTTATTCGTTTCAATTATCTGGAAGTACAATGTGTTTTTGAGGCATAAAGTTTAGTATCAGAAAATGGAGTGGCCTTGCAGAATCATATTCTCGACATCTGAATAAAACAGGCTCAGGGGACTGAAATATATCCAGAGAATTCTCCAATCTCTGATGCCCAGTAATCCCTGATACATGTTCTTGAGAAGATGGTCCCAGAAAATGTATTGTACATGTAAATAACTTGCTAGATTGAAGTTGAGTTCAAAAATTGCACTTTAGGTATAAGGACTCCATGAATTATCTAAGCACATGGATTACACCAAATGAAAAACATTGGTTTCCACAAACTTTTCCCAATGATAATCACACAGTTTCTGTGGAAATCACAACCATTATCCATCTCAACATACCACTTCCACCTACATCACCAATGTGCCACTCAAACTACCCCAGAGTTTTAAAATTTCATTAGTCGGGTGTTTAGTTCACATTTAGATTTTAGATGTATATTCAACCCTCTTACATGTATATAACATGATGTCATAAACATAGTAAAAATTCCATGATGTTATTTTGTACTTTCAAAGTGTAACATAGAGGCACTTGAAGTATACTGCCATTGATGCAATTTTGCCTAGCTGTTTTTCACTCTTTCTTTGGGGTGATAGTACTAGATCTATACATGTATGTAAATATTTTTTTTTCATATATGACAATTTCTTTGACCAATCAGTCGTATCCCTTTCCCCTGATCTGAATCTTTGTTTACTGTTTGTACAGCCATTTCCTTTTCATAATATTATTTGGCATAGGTTGAATGTTGACTTGAAGTGCTAAATTTCTCTGATATTTTTTTACACTTTGATCACATGGTGCAGAAATTGTGTTGTCATCATATTTTAATTTCCTTAAAAATAATTTTATAAAATAAAGAAAATTTTTTTGATAAATATCAATAGTGTGATGATTTGATTTGCTTTCTGAAGAAAAAGAAAAAAGAAAGAGGAAAATCTGGAAGATTTTTGGTTGCACACATTTTTTTTCCTCTAGAGGCTGATTGTTTTGGTCTCAAAAATCAACAGTTGCATTGTTAAGCCAATATTTTCTTTCAGTATACTTTGATGTAAATGCACAAAATTTTTATGTACATATATAGCTCACAACTGAATTTTTTGTTTTCATTATTCCTCCCTCTGGCAAATTTTTTTTTTTTTTATGACAAAACATTTAAGGAATTTTTCTTTGTTAAATAAAATTTGGTTCTTGATGCTGTTTTAACCCTCAACCTAATTTTTGTAATCTCATTTAACTTATCACAGACATGATGGCCTCCTCTGTCATTCAATTCTCCTAATTTGGCACCTTCAATTACTGTGGATTTGTGTTCATCAGGAAAAAAAGCAATTTCTTAAGATTTCTATCACCACTTTTTGCATATTATTGTTGTATCATTTTGTTTTGTTTTTTCGATGAAAAAACTGTCAAGGTTGTAATAGTAATTTACTGAAGATGCACAAGGTAGTTGCTTTTCACTTGGTTAGCAGTAAGGGGAAAGTGTTATTTTTTTTCTTTATATGATATTTTTAAGATTATTTCTTTTCAAAAGGTACATAAGATGTGCATCTGCAAAGGAGGGTCTTTATTTAAGTTGAAAATAATGATTTAAAGAAAGTAAGGATATTGAAAAATAAGACAAATAGAGAAAAGGGCTTTTAATGATCCCTAAAGGATACAAGATTTGCCAAGATTTTTGTTTAATAAGGACAAGTCACAGTGTATCTGTGTCTTTTATTGGCAGGCCATATTTTTAGCTTGATAGCATAAGAGCTCATGAACAATGTGCTGGTCATTGCAGTTTGCAAAGAAAATTGCTTTTCTAAGCTTGCCTTTGGACAAGTTGAAATCATTTCCCACTAGTCCAGGACCCTTGGTATGGGCCTTTTGTCATCCGCAAACAGAAAAAGGAAAAAATGTTTCATGCCCTCTGGGCAAATGTTAAATCGAATCAAGTAGTGCAAGTGGAAAATTAACTAGCACTGAGTTATCTATCAGGACTTTTTTGCATATGGTCATAGTTTGGGTATACTTGTATATGTTTAAGCTACTAAAGGCAAGTTATTTACATGTATTAATTTTTTTAGGACCTTTACCATGGAAAATTACTTGCAAATTTAGCTTTGCCCCATGCCCATGATTTATTCATTTGTTTATTTCACTTTGCTTTTTGGTTGTTATTTACTTGTTTATTTATTTATTACATCCATTTTAAAATCACTAGTGATCCTTGTTAGGTTTTACAAAATGATACCATGTACATTTGCGGTGTCAGGAGCAAACTGTACCTTAAATACAATTTTTTTTTTTCATTGTTGTGGAACAGTGAGATTTCCAGTTTTTTTAGGGCATTGCAATCAAATTTTTTAAAGATGGATATACCTGTATAGCATTTTCCTTTGTTTCTTCAGGTATCTGTTGCCTGCTGGTGCTGACTACAACCTCCTGGGTGTAGCCAGAATACTAGAGATGCATGGTATTATACTTTATCCTGCCAAGGTAAGACATTCCTTTGAAATGCTGAATATTTTAGATCTGAATTGAATGGAAAGGAAATGAGGGGAAGGAAAAATAATACCAAGTTAACTTAATTATCAATAAAATTCCATGCCCCCCTTAGAAACACCCATCCTTTGTGGGTGATGGTGATGTGCTACTTTTTTTTTTATTCCTTACAACCCTTACCAAACCTGGTGATATGGGCCATATACGGTCCAAGTATGGAAATGGTGTGGCATAAACTATGGCCCATATATGGGTAGTATATGGCTTTAGTATGGGCTATTGATTCCATATCAAAACCATATATGCCACTGTCTTCATTCAGTTTTGATTCTATTGTATTTAACTATGGGATTGCTACGTATTTGGCACAGTTCCATAGATTTCCCATAGTATCTGGTATGGGAATGATATGGATCAGCCCCATACCAATACCATATGATCCCTGACCCTTTTGTATGGGAATGCTATGTATTTGGCACAGTTCCATATAATTCCCATATCATCCACACATACTAGCATCTGATATGGGAATGTTACATATGTTTTGTGAAGTCTCATACAATTCCCATATCATTCATTGATACTGCAGCATCTGATATGGGAATGCTACGAATTTCTAAAAGTTCCATACAATTCCCATATCATCTAGTAATGATCGAGTTCATGCTTTTCTGATTACAGTCCCATAGCAAAACCATATGATCAGTGCATCTCCCCAAAAACTATGGAGATTCTATGGCACAGATTTTTCCTTAAGGACGTACCCAGTGGTGCCTGCATGCTTATGGAATGTGGGGAGGAAATATAATGCTCATGCAGTCCTGAGATCAAAATGTACCAGTAGTCAATCTCAAAATTATTGCAATGCTCAAAATTATTTGTGTTTAAGGTTTTCTTCAAAACAGAGCTTACTCACTGATACCTAAAACCTCTTACTATTTTTAAAAGTAACTTATTTGTGGTTACCTTGAACTCCAACTATTCTAACAATTTTTCCTCAAAGTATTTGAGATATCATTAGCCTTCAGAACATGGAAACAGGAACCACAGTTTTGCATTCTTTGCATATATTTAATACATTAGACAATCAAAAAAATACTTAATATACTCTCCACACAAATTCTATACCCTGTCCTCAATGGATATTACATACTTAACAAACTGTCAACAAAACTAGCAACTATGAAGAAAAATGTTTGGGTTGTGTCTCTTGTAAAACATTGAAGAATTGCAAAATATAATTATATAATTAATATAATAATTAAATACAACATAAGGCATGTCACACTGTAACAGTAGTTATTACTGCAGCAAAATTGCATTGTCCTGAACTGAAAATCACTTCAAAAACCCAATGGTCTAATTGTGTGGGAACCTAAATAAAGCAAGACAATGAAATCACATCAACTGTGTCCTTTTACTCAAATCACAGCCGTTACTCTTGTCTGGTTCTTGGTGGCCGCCTTGCTTCTACACATTTCATGTTGATTTTTTGGACAATCTGGCTTGGTGTGGGGACATCTTTATTGAACTTGGAGTAAACCTTGCCTGAAGGAAAATTACAAAAATAACATCTGTTTAAAGTTTGCTTTGAATTAGGAATTGGCAGAGTGAAGCATGTTCTCAAACCTGTAACTTATATTGAATGTATTTATGGTAACAGGATTCATGTGCCCCCTGCTGAGAGGCTCTTGTTGTATCACTCTTTTTTCAGGCATTGTTCAAACCAGGAACACCTGGAATAGAGAGGTATTCTAAGTGTTTTGTTACTTGTTTCTGGAGAATTAACCAAAGAAAAGAGAATAGATAAATAAAGAAAAATTTCAGCTCCATTGTCTGTGCTCTGGGGACACTGGATTGTTGGTGAACGGCAAACAAGTTTTGTGATGAGTTAGTTCTTCTGCTTCTGGCTGCAACCCTGATAACTTAGTTTTCATTGGATAATATACGTCACAGTGAAAGTGGAGTTGGAAGAAAATAGACCTGTTCTGATTTTTCCTGCAGGCTTGGATTCCTTCACGCTTGTAACTTCAATTTTTGATTTTCACTTGGTCAGAAGCACTCTCATGACTCCGACTATGACTCCAAGTACAGTTCCGCCACAGGTGCAAACCAGCCCTGGGTGAAAAAAACAAAGACTTGCAAATATCACAAGAGCATTGCCTGGAGGATTCCTCCAGTTTCTTCTTTTTACATCTCTTCTGCTGTATTTTCCAATGAAGGGTGCTTGCTGTGCAGTCACTTTGTATGCAGAATAAAAGGAGATATTTCTGTCCTAATCAAACAGTGAAATAAAGTAGGGAGCTTGTGCAGATGATAGTAACTCGTGTGACCATGAGTCTCTGGGGGATCCTCAGGAAGTAACTGATGAATTTCTTGTCCCCAACTGATACCCAGAAGACCCTATGGACATCTGTTCCCTGCAAAAAATGGTAACGACCAGGATGACCAGGCCTTACATTGCCTGCAATGAGGAGCCTCATGATGAGTTTCTTAACATAAAACAAACAAAACAAGACTGAAAAATAGTTTCAGTTGAGGAGATGCAGTGATAAGGGTGGGAATATTTCAGTGTTTTTGAAAAGATCTCTGTAAGGAGATTCCATGATGTTACTCCATTCTTTCTTTTTTCATTTTAATGGTACTTTTAATCTTCCTGTTGGGAGACAAGATGGCCTCATGGTAAGCTGACTCCTAGCCAAAATGTCCATGTTCAAGACCAGGGATCCATTTCTTGAAGGTTCCAATAATTCAACAGGCCCATAAAGCTGTTCTGTTTTCCTTCATGGTGGAGTTGCAAAAGTTTTTAATACAATAAAACAATCAGCTAAAGAAAGAAAATGGACGGGTTAGGGTGCCTAAACCTGCTTCTCTCAACCGTAGATTCCTATTTCAATATGCTCTCCAGCTGCTACACCACACAATAGCGCTTGCCAGCAGGGTGGACAAAATGCGGGGGAGGGGGAGTGGCTTTATGTTACAAAAACCCAATAAGTCTCGAGTAGACATGGTAGATGGGCCACTCGGCCTTTTGCAGAATTTACCTTCCATTTATACACTCTCTGGCTTCAGAAACTTGGTTGGATAATGCAAACACTAACAGCACCACAAGAATAATTGAAAATGGCCAAACATCTCCTATGTAAAGCATCGTAGCATGCTGTTAAATGCAGTCAGTTGCAGTTTCTGTCAAAAAAAATGGAAAATAATAAATAAAAATAAAGCGGAATAAATCAGTAAACAAGACGAGAGACTGAGTCAGCAGAAGAAGAAACCTGCTGGCTTAAAAACGACAAAAAAAATCATGCTTTTGGCGTGGCGAGCTCAACAAGAAAAATTTTGATTCTAGAAGTGACCAGAAAGTGCAATTACTCACCACTAAACCACAAGCTCTGTAAGTCATTTCTTCAATAATAAAGTTTCTTTCCAAACGTTTCACTGCACGTTGTTTCCGCGTGAAATTAATCTTTTTTAGATATTAAAATGCACAATACATAACGTATTAGAGGGTTTCTTAAAGGAAAAAAGCTTCTGACTTGGCTCATAGCTTCACGGTAAGCGCTGGCATATCTTCCAGATGCAGTCGAAAATTGTTTACATGCGCCATTATGAATCGTTATGCGGATTACCGCTGTACCTTAAGTTCCAGACTCCCTCCCCTGTTATTCCAATTCCCGTTCCCTTTTCAGTTAGGTTTTCACAACATCCAGACTCTATGCAGATTGGGAAAGTAGTTTTCAATCAACAGCCGTTGTTACAACATCCAGACTCTTTGAAGAGAATTTGTTTGTGTCATAATAAAATTTACCTGACCCTTCATGATGCCCTGTACTATTGTTCTGACCCCAACTCCTCCTCCAGTTGATTGGCAGTCAAGTTTCTATAGTCCCCCT